CGCTGTTGACCGGTGACGAGTTCTTGCTTCCCCAATGTTGAAGAATAACACCAAAGAAGCACGCTGAGGCAAGGTCAGAGTAGAAATTAGAAGTTTATTAAAGGACAGCAGAAAAGACTTCTCCCGGAGGAAGAAGGGGACCCAAGAGGTGGAATCCGTGGAAGGGATGTTGTCTCCCCTTTTTATAGTTCTTTCAGTGATGGAATGTAGGTGGGAAGGCCCGAGGGGTGGGACACAGGTGGGCCAAAGAAGTAATCTGGTCAGGAAGGACTTCTGAGTCAGCACCTTTTTGCTGGGGGCTGTTCATTAACATTTCTTTGAGGTGGACTTTGGCCTAGGGCCTTTTCGGGACTTCATTAACATTCCATGGGTTGTCCTGCGTTTCCCAGAATCATTGCCAGCATGGCCTCCTCCATTTTAGATTTCACTCGATATTAGAGCCGGATTTATCTAACTACACTGACTACCTAACTTTAAATCTGGCTTCAGTATCACTTAATTCATTATTGTTTTTGTTTTTTAAAGTCTTCTTTTTTCTTTAAACTAGCTAAGGGTTTCTAGATTTTTTTTCTTTTCTTTTCAAAAAAAAAAAAAAAAACAACAACTCTTAGTTGTGTTGGTCTATTCTGTCATTTTTCTAGTCTCTATCTGACTTATTTATGATCTAACCTTTGTGATTATTTTCCTTCTGATAACTTTTTTTTCTTTTTCTACTTCCTTCATATATAAAATAGGGTTTGCTGTGCTTTGTTTTTGTGGTATTGGGGATTGAACCCAGGGCCTCATACGTGCTAGGCAAGTACTTCTGAGCTACATCCCCAGTTCTATTTTATTTCATTTTAAGACAGAGCCTAAGTTGCCCATGCTGGCCTCCAACTTGCTATTCTTCTGCCTCAGTCTTGAGATTAGTTAAGTAGCACATAGTACAGGGAGTTTGGGGGATACTGGGGATTTAGCCCAGAAGTGATTTACCATTGAGCTACATCCCCTAACTCTTTTATTTTTATTTATTTATTTTTTTTATTTTGCAACAGGGTCTCACTAAGTTGCTTAGGGACTTGCTACATTGCCTAGGCTGGCCTTGACCTTGCACAATCCTCCTGCCTCAGCCTCCTAAACTGCTGGGATTACAGGTGTGTGCCCAGTATTATCTTATTGATTGATTGATTTTTCAACAGTGTGTTTTAAAATTTCCAAATGTTTGTGAATTTCAAATTTTCTTCCTGTTATTGATTTATATTTTTACACCATTATGGTTGAAATCCCTACTTGACATTTTTTCCATGTTCTTGAATGTTTTAAGACTTGCTTTTTGACCTAATATGATTTGTCCTAGGGAATATTTTATATGCACTTGAAAAGAATATTTACTCTGCTACTGTTGGATAAATGTTCTACCTATGTCTGTTAAGTGCACTTAATCTACAGTGTTGTTCAGTTCTGCTGTTTTCATATTGATTTTCTGTGTGGAGGATCTATCCATTGTTGAAAGTGGGATATTTAAGTCCCTTATTATTATTGCAAAACCCAAGGTAACAGAATCTGTTTCATTTTCCCTTTGGAAACTGGTTTTTTCTCTTAACCAAGAAAATAGCTCTCAGGTGGGTAGTGGCTTAGAGGCTGGAATATAGATGGAGGGAAGGTTTGTTTGAAGGGATGAAAGGAAGCAGAGTCTCCAACACCCACAGCCATAGGAAGGACAAACATTACACACAGCTTATCTTAATTAACATAAACTAGATACAGCAGTCAACCAATAAGGAATCTCCACAATTAATGACTCGCTGGCATTACTTCATAAACCACTCCCCCTGGCAAAATGCCAGGCGCCATCTTGACTTGTTTACAGACCTTAACAGAAGACCTCTAAGAATGTGTTAAGAGATAAAGAAAAGGGAAATTGGCCACTGCCCTTTATCTTTAGGTGAGAATCAAAGCAGGATAATCTCGGCGGTGAAGTCAAGTCAAATACTCATAAAACAATCTCACATGCACTGTTGACATGCAGTCTACTCAACATATTCCCACTGCCTGTAGGAATGATAAGGCTGATCATTTTATCCTGGCCTGACACCACCCATGATTGCCTAAGTCAGAAAATGTCTAAACTCTCTCTGATAAGCGCTCCAAGTTCCTTCTTTGGGACTGGAAAACAATACACTGGGGTCTTTGCAGTCCTGGGTTGGGGGACTGGATTGTGTAACTATGTGTGTGTGTGACATGGATGCTGGATACTGATCTCAGTCTGAAGAAGACAAGACCAACTGTACACCTCTGAGTTGAGGATTTGCCCCAGGTCCCAGATTTGGCTTCATTTTCTCCCACTTTGATTTATGTGGCTGATTAGGAATACTTTGGGAGATAGGGATAAAGATCTTCATCCCCAATTTTTAAGGCAGAACATATAGTCTTGAAGACCATGATGATTAAAATACCAAGCACATTTTGGGAAAAAAAATCTTCATTTTCAAATGGACTGTTCTCATTAAAATATGCTGTGAACTGGTAGTGAATGTGCATGGCTTCTCCAGGAGGAAGGCATTCTGGGGAAACATGCAAAATTGTGGGTGTGGAACGCCATCAGGCAGGTGGTTGGATTGGGATTTAAATGACAAAAAGAGTAATTAAAAGTACCAGGTAAGGAGCACTTTCCCTCTCTTCATCTTAGCAAGTGAATAGTATTTAATTGGAAAGTGTTTAATGATCTTATAGGATATGATTTTTAATTATTTTTAATTATATAGGATATAAAAATTTTTAATTTTTCTACTCCAGTTCTTTGGGGGAAGATGGCAAGAAGAATATTTTTCAGAGGCTTGGCATTTATCTTTCGAAAACAGTTGTTCAACCCCAGGGCTGGGAAGCCTCACTGTACTCTTTTTCAATCCCAGAGAAAGAACTTGGATGACTCAACAGAGAGGGTTTGGACATTTTTTTATTCATGTCGTCCTGGGCAGCTGCAGAGTGGAACGATATGGAGGGCAGAGATGCTCCGGAAGGCAGGGGGAATGTACAGACAGATTGCATGCTCGCTGTACAGATGGATTTCTTCAGATATTTTATGAGTATGTTCTTTTATTTTATAACCAAAGTTGCTTTGCTTTGATCTTCACTTAAAGATTGGAGACAAAGGAACTGGCTAGTTTTCCCCTCTCCATTTCCTTTGTTATCACATTCTTTAGAGTCTTTATGTTTTTTTCTTTTTCTTTTTTATTCTTTTTAGATATCTATGCCAGTAGAGTATATTGTAACATGTTATACATGTGTGGAGTATAACTTCCCATCCTTATGGTTGTACATAATGTACACTGATCATGTATTCCTATATGAACATAGGAAAGTTATGTCTGATTTATTTCACTGTCTTTCCTATTCCCATCTCCCCTCCCTTCCTTTTTTTCTCCTTTGTCTAATCCTAAGAACTTCTATTTTTCCCTACCCCCACGTCAAATATTCTCTTTTATATGTGTATGTATTAGATCCGCATATAAAAGAGAATATTTGACCTTTGGTTTTGAGGGATTGGCTTATTTCACTTAGCATGATAGCCTTCAGTTCCATCCATTTCCTGACAATTTTTAATTTCATTCATAGATCAGTAATATTCCATCGTGTGTGTGTGTGTGTGTGTGTGTGTGTGTGTATCACATTTTCTTTATCCATTCATCTGTTGAAGGGCACCTAGGTTGGTTCCATAGCTCAGCTATTATAAATTAAGCTGCTATAAACATTGATGTGGCTGCATCACTGTAGTATGTCGATTTTAAGTCCTTTGAGTATGTGCCAAGGAGTGGGATAGCTGGGTCAAATGGTCCATCCACTTCAAGTTTTCTGAGGAATCTCCATACTGCTTTCCAGAGTGGTTGCACCAATTTACATTCCCACCAGCAGTGTATGAGTACATCCTGTCTCACTGCCCTGAACAACAAACTTTCCTAGGTTTTAGGAAGCTAGTCAACCATGAATGAGGGAGCAGAGAAAGGACAATGAAGGGTGACTGAAAACCACATGGAACCTTATCTCACAGATCACACCTGGAAGGTTATAGCACCTGTGTGTTAAACCTGTCCCGGTCATAATTGTATCCCCTAAGAAAATCCATTGTTTCAAGATCATACTCCACCAGGTAGCCTGGACCCTCCCTTATCATTGAAGCCATGTCACAACCCCCAATCACCCTGACAATCAAAACATTAAGACCCTCACTAAAAATGCTTGCTGAATTCTTCTCAAAGAGTAATAAACTGATTAAGGCGGCAGGAAATTGAGGCAAAAACAGCGGGGACTCAATTTCCTTCAAAACTTCCTCTCTGTGAGTACTATACCACCCCCTCTTGTAGGTAGTCCGCAGTTCTTATGCCGGGAGTCAAAAGTCAAAAGGTGGACCTGGGTTGTGCTCTCTGGAGACTTCCCTGGAACCCCCAATAACTCTGGAGGGCTGGAGAAGCAACTGTTCTCTTCCCTGAGAGGACCCACTGTCTGCCTTGAGAACATCCCCCTTTCCCTTTTCCTTTCCATTCTAATAAACGCATGCCTGTTACTATGAGTGACATGTCTGAAATCTTTCTGGCATGACAGCAAGAACTGGGATAAGGGGGGCCTTCAGGTCTGCCTCAGCTTTTCAGCAGGGCTCTGCCCTGCGGCAGGAGGCACCCAAAGCAGTCTTGTTCCTTGATCTCACTCACTGTGGATAAATGAGCTCAATATTTGTCATGTGCATGGATAACAGGACATTAATATTAGGAAAGGCTTAATGACACTCTCAAAAGGAGTGCTAATTAAATTTTCTTGCAAATCAGTAGAAAAGGAGCCTGTGAATAAATCGTGTGACAGTTACAAACAGCAGACAGATATTTAGAAAAATGTTTTTATAGATCTAAGTACCTGAAAAGAACTGGTGGCTAGGCAGACCAGGAAGTTGAAAAACAACAGTTTACAGACTTAATGAGTAACAGGTAGTGAATGGTGCATATTCACTATCAGTTCACAGTGCTGGAGGTAGGATAAGAAAATGCATCAATAGTGAAAGTTCTCATCAACAAATTCCATGGGTTTCCCACTCCACCTTGTCCCCCACCTCTTGATTCTTCCCATCTGTGCACAACAATCAGGTAACTCTACAGTTTTTCTTTCAAACATGTTTGGCTGGAATCAATAGTTTAAAAAATGCCTATTTACTTTTATACAGTGAGGTAAACAAGGTGGTATGTTTGCGTCTGTATCATGTGGCTATTTAATCATGTAGCTAGCAAGTTGTTTAAACTGAGTATGTTTGAAACAATGAGTTATTCAACAGAATGCAAGAAAGGTAAGAATGAAGAGTCTTTCTGCATCAGAGGAGTATCTGAGTAACTCAAACTGGAGGTTATAAACCAACCAGAAGCATATGAACTCTTGGCAAACTTGCTTTGCTTTGTAGGAGTCCTTGTGAATATATTGAAGCAGCATATCTGCCTTTTAGTTTTGAGTCTGACTTGTTCTGTGTCTCTTCTTGTTCATGAAGACCTTTTTGATACTATCAAGTCTGTAAATCTTTTCCTTTGTGGGTTTGTCTATCCTTACGAGCTTTAAGAATTAACAAGTATTCGGTCCTATTATTTTTAGTCATTTATTTATTTATTTATTTATTTATTTTTTACATTATATACATTTTATTCAAACAAAAAGTCCATAAAACTTTAACACATCATTTAAACTACAATTTGAGAAGGCATTTATTTTATTTGGAATGCTCCAATGAAAGAAATAAGAAATAAAATGATTATGTATGTCTCAGATGGCAAATAAATATACAACAGTATGTTAAAGAAGTCTTACCAATAGTTGGGTAACTTCTTATAAATCAAAATCATTTTTAGTCATTTAAAATTATTTAATTAAAGATATTTAACCTGAATTCTTCTAAATCCATTTGGTTCATGATAAAAGCAATAACCAGTGTTCTTTAAGAATTCAGGAGATTTTTTTTTTTTTAAATCACAGTGATTTCGAGATCAAAGAAAAACAGTAACTTCTAGTTAAGGAGTTTTTTTTTTTCCCCTGGGGGAGGTATCGTTTGAATTCAATTAGATATTTGAATTCCGTTGAATTCAAAGTTGAATGATGGATGACAGAAGCTGAGGCCAATGGGTGGTGACATAGAAGAAATCAGCATGTCCTGTTCTTTCTGTTCTATTCCCCTAATATACTTCAGCACCTAAAATGCACAGCTCATTGTGACCAAGATTTAGTATAGTGGTACAGAAGGTGCTTAGCAAGGAATGCTCCTTTGAACATCTCTGTTTATGTTTTTGGAAAATCTATACATGTACTTCTATTAGGCATGTAGTTAGAAGTAGATTGGCTGATTATAGGAGTGCTTGTATAGTCCTCATTTTAATTAGTGTATTCCTGATGACAAAGTTGAGCAACTTAAATACATTTATTGGCCATTTAAATACTCTATTTTGTGTGTGATGTGTGTATTCAAATATTTTGTTCAGTTTTCCATTGATTTGTTGATTTGTGGAAATATATATACATTAGGGTATAAATCTTTGTCATGTACACATATGGAAAATATATTTTCTCACTCCATGGGTTGCCTCCTTACTTTTGAAGACGTATCTTTTGGTGAATTGAAGTTATTAAATCCTAAGATAAGCTAGCTTTTCATTTATTACTTCATATCACCAAGAAAGGAATAAGGCACTAAATAACAATGTATTCCCTATTTAAAAAATCAATGGCACCGGTACAGTGGCACTGACCTGTAATCCCAATGGCTTGGAAGGCTGAAGCAGGAGGATGGAAAGTTCAAAGTTAGCTTCAACAACTTTGCAAGGCCCTAAGCAACTTAGCAAGTCCCTGTCTCAAAATAATAGATAAAAAAAGGGCTGGGCATGTGGCTCAGTGGTGGGTCCAATCCTCATTATCAAAAAAAAAAAAAAAAAGAGAGAGAGAGAGAGAGAGAAATCATTGGCTACCACAGTCATATAGATGTTATACAATATTCTAAAAACTGTGTTTTATCTCTCACATTTAGATATTCAGTGCATTTTAAATAGATTTTTTTTTGTCTCTGGTCTTAGGTGGTAGCCAATCTATAATTTGTCCATACAGATGTCCCATGGACACAGCATTTATTGGGAAGATCATCTTTTTATGCAACATGACATTACTTTAGCTTTTCATCTAGATAGTAAGTCTTCAGTTTATTGTATTGGCTTTTTAGAATCAACTCCTTAATTCAAGAATTAAAAAAAAATTAAGAACTACTTGCATTTTGATTAAATTTCCACTGAGTTTCAAATTTAACTTGGGGAGGATTGACATTTAATTTTTTTTCTATCTGAATATGGTATATTTCTAAATTTATATATATCTTCTTTGTTTCTAAGAAGTCTTTTGTAGATTTAAGTAGAGAGGTTTTATATATCTTCCATTTTGTTTATTTCTAGATTTTCTTTTCATTAGGAGGGTGAACTATTGTAAGTACTATTCTCAAGTGTATATTTTCTACTTGCTTAGTGTGCATATATAGAGATACAATGATTCTTTAAAATGGCTTATTTTTTTTAGAAAGCTTTAGGCTTATAGAAAAATTGAGAAGCTAGTAGACAGTTTCAGTAACTCCCATGACTAGATTTTCCTGTTATTAACATTACATATTAGTATGATAACATTTGTTAAAATTAATAAACCAAATCTGATACATTGTCCATAACTAACATCCATAGTAAATTTATGTTACTTTAGTTTGTATTCAATGTGTTTTCTGTGCCTGGATCCCATCCAAGGTATCACATTACACAACCCTGTCATATCTCCTTATGCCCCCATTAGCTATAGGAATTTCTCAGAGTTTCCTTGTTTTTGATGACCATGACTATTTTGAGGAGGGGATGTTTGGCAAAAGAAGCTGCTCACCTTAGGGCACAGCAGGAAATAAAAGAGAAAAAGGAGCTATAGGGATTTCAACATCCATTTCAAGGGCCTGGCCTAATGACCTAGTTTCTTGCACTATGTTCCACCTCCTAAAGATTGCATTACCTCCCAATAGCACTGCAGCACATTTAGGGATAAATGCCTGTTTATCAGCAACATCTAAGATCCAAACTGTAACACCACATATTAAAAGAATTGTGTAACATGCCAAGCATGGCGGCACACACCTAAAATCCCAGGGACTCAGGAAGTTGAGGCAGGACTATCACAAGTTCAAGGCCAGCCTCAGCAACTTAGTGGGGCCCTAAGCAGCTTTGTGAGACCTTGTCTCAAAATAAAAAATTAAAAGGGCCAGGAAAGTTGCTCAGTGGTTAAGCACCCTGATTTCAATCACTGTACCCAGGGGTGTGGGGCGGAGCGATGTTATTGAGCAGACATCTCATTAAATGAAATACACTCTAGCTCTGGGTTTTAAAAAACAAAACAAACAAACACCTCTCTATTCCCTGATTTCTAGTTTCTTACCTACAGAGAACTGACAACCCCAGATTACTCACCTCTGAGATATTCTCTCTTCCTGAAATTTTATTCCCTCTAGTTTTTCTTGGTTTTGCCGTTGTCTGATGCTCTTAAGTATATTGTTATGTAATTAATTCAACTTTCCTAGTTGTTCTCAGAGAGTGTTAATATCCCACAGAGTACTCCATCCTACCTAGCTATGACATTTTATGATTCTAGTTTTTATTTAGGTTTGCAGATTGTGACACTTAGAAAACACATTCAAACACACACATACACACACACATATCACTTAATATAAAAATTTTCCAAAGTCTTTACAGAAGCAAAATAACATTTTACTTAACTTTCTATTAGAGAATACATAATCAGATGCCCTTTTCTACATATCAGGAAAATTATTAAATTTTTTTTGTTCAACCAACAGAGAAACTGTGGCCTCCTGCCAGTCTTCTATTGTAGCAGAAGATTGAGGAAATCAGTGCTTTTGAAGGTCTAAAGGTTTTATTTGCTCTATGAATTCTATGCCCATAATACCTCACCTTTAGTTTAGATCAGTTAGTAGCATTCTTACCTTGTGATCTACTTTAACTAAAAAGCATTTTTAAAAGCTAACAATACTCATGTTGCTTAATTTGTGTTTCAACTTTGTTACTCAATAAATATGAATTGATTAGGTAATATATGCTAGAAATAATTTTAGAACTAGATATTCAATATAGAAGAGTTTATTTTCTAGTGAGCAAGACAGATAAATAAATGATAATTAAAAGATAGAGAGGTAAGTGCTATGATATGCATTAGCATAAAAGCACATTTTTCTTAATTTTGAACTTTATTTTCAGATTCCTTACATAAAATAAAGCATAACAGTAATGAAACAGCTGTATTAGGAGCAAGTGTGACCATTTTCTGCAATTTGACAACTCCAGCAAATGTCGTGCAAATCACCTGGCAGAAGATCCAAGACTCTCTACCACAAAATATTGGCACTTACAGCAGTAAATACGGAGAAAAGATTCTTCCACCATACATAGACAGGCTGCACTGCAAGATCATTGAACCCAATTGCTCCTTCCTGACAATCAATGAAGTAACATTTGACGACGAAGCCTGCTACAAATGTGTCTTTAACGTGTTTCCTCATGGAAGTCATGGAGGAAAAGTCTGCCTGAACATCTTAAGTATTTAAATGTTTTCTGTGGGATCAGAGTACTGAGGCAGAAATCATGGGCTTGTGGTATTTTAAGGTTGGCATTCAGAGAATGTTAGAGGATGAAGGACTGATAGAGAGCATCCCAGCCAAGTCATTTACTATATGTAAGGGATTAAAAAAAGGGGTTGGGGGAAAGCCAGTAATGATCAAGTGACTGCCAATGTTCACACAGTGCAGGACCTTCTCCCCTGTCCTCTAACTTCTTTACCCTGCACTGGCTTTCATCTGTGAAGCATCCCTTCATTCAGCTGCAGAGTTGAGAAAAGTGAGGAAAAGAAAAAGACTTTAGGGAAAGAGAAAGAATGATGAGGATTAAGAGAATAAGGAGTTTCCAGTCTTCAAATAAACAAAATGCCTCATGGCTTGTGGCAGTGCGACACAGTCACCTTACTATATTGTGATAAATGTAACTTTTAGGCTGGATGAAAGTTGAGACACCAGTTGTTCCTCTCACCTTGGAGGGGCTGTGGGTATAGGAAATGATACTATGAGGTTGTTGTTTGTTTTTTTTAAATGCAAGGAAAGTATCTGAGAGGGCTCTTCTCAACATTTTGGGATCATATAAAAATTTGGGGAGGCCAAGTTTTAACAGCATAGGAATCTGGTATGGTATATTTTCATACTTAATTGTGTTTCTCTTTCTGCCTCAGCTGTAACTGAATTAACATCGGAACCCCGATTCAGTCCTGACTCTGAAGGTTTTCTTAGCTTTAATTATTCAGCCGTGGGAAAACCTGCACCTCGAATTTCTCTTTTCCCCTCACGGATCCTGAATTGTCCACCTGAGGAGTACCTTGCTCAGAACCCCAATGGTACCATAACAGTTACTAAAATGTACACCATCTCTATGGAAACTGTGAGGTCCCTAGGACTCCAACACCTGATTGTGCACATGGATCACCCTCTAAGGAATGAAGAGAAGATTGTTTCTCTGCCAAAAAAACAAGAATGTAAGTAGCAGTGAAGCCCAGAGAGGGGAAATATTTATCTTCCCTTAAAATTCACTTTCATAGGTGTTTGTTAAGTCATGTACTTTGAAAAAAAAAATCATACACATGCATAGTTAAAAGACTGAAATAATGAAGACAGCCTCATAAACCTGCTCACCTGCTCCCTGGGGCAGCTGTTTTTAAATGGAAGATTTTGAAATTGATCTTGATATGTCTTCTACCCAATTTCTACCTCAATCACTTTGGGCTTATTTACTCTACCTTCAACTTTTCCTCTGTCCTTTCCCTTCCTCTGCAACCTTTATGGTTAAGCCTGTTTCTTGTTTCATACTCCACAAAAAGTCTCTCTTTGCTGTCCATTTCTTTCTGCCTTCTTTCCCTTCAAGCTCTGCCAACTGTATTTATAACCATAATTTTTTTTTATTATGACTAGGTATAAACCATTTATTCTTTTACCGAAGTAAAATAACAAAGTATTGTTGATGGACTCCCAGACAGAAGGCTTTAAGGAGTAAAAAAAGTAATTATTTGTAATTAGTATGTTAAGGTTTTAATGAAATAAAAATTTATATACAACATCATTCTCAAACTAGAAGCCTTAAATAGGTTAGCCCCAAAGTGTTTCTTTTTAAACAGTTTAAATTATTTGTCAACATTTAAAGATCCATAAATTTCAGGTGAATATTATGGGTTTCATCTTTTCTCTAAAATGGAAAGTTCTGGCAAAGCTGGGCCCACATTTGTGCTCGGTGACGACTATCTCATCTTGGTTCCTTAGCTTGGGTGTGGGTGCTCACTCAGTTCTATAACCATAATTAAACAGGGTTAATAGGAATGGGATAATTTTTAAAGAGCTCAAGAAATAGTATGTGAATAATGTCTTTATATTCTACCCAATAATCTTTTAAAATTAGAATTTCTCCAAATATTTACTCTACATACTGATAATCTGAGGTTTTATTCTACCACTTTACCATTTATTTTCTGTTATCTCACCTTTAGTCTCTAAATATTTATGGTACATACTGACAATTTAAGGGTTTAATCTACCACACTCCTATCATTTTCTGTTAGCTCACCTGTTCCTGTCTCTCTTTTTTTACTAATTTATTTTGGTTAATGATTTATCTATATTTCCTTTCCCCCATATATTGGTTTATAGATTACATTATTTTAGTGATTGGCTTGGAAATTATAACATACATCATGACTAATTAAGGCCTAAAAAATTTAATACTTTAGTAATCACTTCCCAACAGTGCAATGAGTTTATATTAACTCCCACTCCTTGTGCCAATATTTTTGGGCATTCTTTATGCTTATATATCATAGCATATTATCATTGCTATGACTGTTATTTGTTGTACTATTCATTTAGATTTACCCTCTCTGTTGCTATTCATTTCCTTGCCCATTTTTCATGCTTTTCTCTGAAATAATTTTTCCTCTATGTGGAGAATTTCTCTATTGCTTTCCTTTAGTAGAGGCTTACCTGGGACCAATTTTCTCAATATTTTTGATTAAAGAATATGTCTTTACTTTTGAAGAACATTTTCACAAAATTTGTGATTCCAATTTGACAGATTTTTTTGCATTAATTTGACAATGTCAAATATGTCATTTTATTGACTTTCTATTACCATGATTACTGTTGAAAAGACATTTCTTCGTCTTGTTGCTTAGTCTTTAGAAAGAAAAGTATCTTCCCCATCCCCAGCTCTGGCTATGTGTAAGATTTTCTCCTGGTGTTTGTTGCTTACCAGTTTTATTATCATGTGCCCTAATGTAGTATTCTTATTCTGCTTGTGGTTGTCCAAAACCCTTGATTTCTTTTTTCTTTCTTTCTTTCTTTCTTTTTTTTTTTTTTTTTGTGGTGCTGGGTATTGAACCCAGGCAGGCCTTGTGCATGCAAGGCAAGCATTCTACCAACTGAGCTATCTATATCTCCAGCCTTTTGATTTCTTAATATGGGAGAAAATATCCTTTTCTATAAATGTTCCACATTTTGTTTACCCATCCATCAGTTTATAAATATCTGAGTTATTTTCATTTTTTGTTATGGCAAATGATTTTGCTATGAATATTTGTGTAAAAGTTTTTGCATGTGTGCATGTTTCCAATTCTCTTGGGAATAGACCCAAAAGTAAATTGGTGGTTCACATGGTAATATGATATTGACCTTTTTGAGGAACTACTAAACTGTTTTCCACAGTGGTTGAACCATTTTAAGTTCCTAATAGCAATACACGAATGTTTGAATTTCTTCACAATCTTTCTAATGCTTTTTATTCTCTCAATTTTAAAAGAAATTATAGTCATAGCAGTGGAGGTGAAGGGGTATGTTACTGAAGTACTTTATACTCTTTAACCTAAATTCCCAAATGCTCATATCCCCAGCCCTGGGAAAAACTAATTTGATTTATATATCTATACATCTGTACATTTTCATGTAAATGTAATCATATTTGTGGTCTTTTGTTATGTATGATTTTATCTTCTCTCAGAAAGCATTTACTTTTGCTTTCTGTAGGTGCTTATTAGGGATAGATTGCCTTAATACAATTAGGGATTAGATGACTTGAAATAGTCTATACTCTTCACTCCTTGAAAAGTGGAGTCTCTTTCTGGTCCATTCTTTTTTGATTTTGTTGTTTTTGCTTTTTTGTTTGTTTGTTTTGGGTACTAGGGATTGAACTTGGGTTACTTAACCACTGAGCCACATCCTCAGTCCTTTTTTATTTTGAGGTGAAGTCTTGCTAAATTGCTTTGGGTCTCACTAAGTTGCTGAGACTGGTTTTGAACTTGCCATCCTCCTTCCTCAGCCTCCCAAACTGCTGGGATTAGAGGTGTGTGCCTGGCTCTGGTTCATCTTTTCTACTGGAGTTTAACTCTTTGGAATTTTAAGCCTCAAGTCCTACCAGGACCCTTTGCCTTGGTAGACTTTTAATTCCAGGCTTTATTGCTGACTTTTCTGCTCAACTTTTCAGTATCTCAGCTTTGGCTTTCACTTTAAAAATTTGTGCTTCTACTGAGTAAAAACATATCTTAAAATGAGACACTCCCTCTCTTGGCTTTCTCCTTTTACTAGGTCTACAAATTCTTAATGATCTGGTAACCCTTTGATGTTTCAGAACATTTTTAAAGTAATTTGTCCATATTTTCTTAATGTCTTCAGTGGGAGGGTTAGCCTCAAACTAATTAGGTCATTGCTAGAATTAAAACCTGCCTATATTACCCAATTTCATACTGATAAGCATCTTTTCTTCTGTTACAACTGCATTTCCATAGCTTTGTTGCCCATGGGGCCCTTGTCAAAATGTTCAGGAATTGCTGTGCTTTGAACCCCCTCTCCCAGAAGTATAAGACAGCATCATTTTCAACCCTTATCACATTGCCTTAGATATTCTCTACAGAAATGATGAAGAGATCCTGACTTACCTGCTAACCAGAATTTCCATCCTCTTTTTTTTTTTTTTTTTCTGAAGGAAGGTAGAAATGATATTCCTAACATTTTGCTCTATTTTGGGAATCCCTTTATGTTTGGATAAGCACTACAGAACAAGATTTGGATACAAGTGTCACCCAAAAGCTCCTGTGTTAACTCAGGAATATTCGGAGATGGGGCATGATTGGAAAAGGTGGGTCACTGGGGGCATGTCCCCAGTGCCATAGTCATGCACATATTCATATTCTCCCTCTGTCCTTCCTGGCCATCATGAGGTGAGCAGTGCTACTTCACCACCCTCTCTTGTTATGATGTTCTGCCTCGTCTTGGGCCCAGAGCAATGGACTTGACAGATCAGGGAATAAACCTTTGAAGCCATGAGCCAAAATAAGCTTTTCATCCTCCAGCTTGTTCTTGTTGGGTCATAGCAATGGAAGGCTGACTAACACACATATTCTATAGTTTATGTTAACCATCCTTCTGCCTGAATCGTCCATTGGTCCTGACGAGAAGTCACATGTCAATCTGCTAATTGCAATAGCATATACTACTCCATATTCTTTTCTTCTTTATTTTTGTTGTGGTTTGGAGATGAGATGTCCCCCAAACGCTGATGTGTGAGACAATCCAAGAAAGCTTACAGAGAAAATGATTGGGTTGTGAGAGCCTTAACCTAATAAGTGTATTAATCCTCTGACAGGAATTAACTGGGCACTCACGGTAGGTAATTGGGGTGTGGCTGGAGAAGGTGGGTCCCTAGGGGTGTGGCTTTGGGGTTTATATTTATATCCTTCTTGAGCAGAGCTCTCTCTGCATTCCGGTCCCATGTTCTCAGATGCTTTCCTCCTCCACACCCTTCCACCATGATGTTCTACTTCACCTTGAGTCCCGGAGAATGGAGTTATCCATCCACGGACTGTGACCTCTGAAACTGTGAGCCTCCAAATAAACTTTTCCTTCTTTAATTGTTCTTGTCAGATCTTTTGGTCACAGCAATGAAAAAACTGATTAAAACAATCCTAGTGCCATGTTTTGTTTTGTTTGTTTATTCATTTTATCCTTGCATGTGAATACATGTGCTGCATTCATTTAATCTAAAATATTTCAATTCTGAGCATTTTCTAATTTCTCTGATAATTTCCTGCCTGTTCATCTAACTGATTCTTTTTGTATAAACCTCTGAGTAAATAAGCATTGAAATATTTGGATTCGATTTTTTTTTTGAATTTTCGTATGTTTTTTTTCTCAAAATTATCTTCAAACTGATTCATTGAATTTTTCCTTTTTTGGACAAATCAGGTTTTTAATTTAGAATTGCTTTGGGGATTTAAAATGAAAATTGTCTATTTTTTATAGACTTTAAGAAAGTAATATCAAATATATCTGGGAATAATAATTTGTAAAGATTATATTTAACTTCTGTTTCTTTAATTGTCTTCCCTTACCTCCACCCCTACCATTTTAACATTATGTTTCTTTTACTTAGCCGCCTCACTTGGATGAAGCTTTCTTTATTGGAGGTTTATAAAAGGCTACAGTTTTTGGTGGGGTGAACTTTTGTGTGTAGATAGGAGACCCTGAAAATCAGAGTGTAAAGGCCTTCATTCTGAAGCCCTGAACTAAATAGCCCTTAGTTATTTGAAGTGAGTTCAATAAGTCACACCTACTCCTCCATTTTTATTTTGGCTGGGTTGTAAGCATCTTGGCTGTCCAGCGTTGCACTTTGGAATATAAAGTAGGTGATTTTAACTATAAATTCTGTTACCCCCCCCCCCCGAGTCATCTTCTGCTTTTTCAAGGCTCTTTCTTCGTGTGTTGTCTGCTTTGTACCTCCCCAAGGCTGCAGCCTCTTTTATCTTGTACCTTCATAGCTCATTGCTTTGTCTTCTTTACATCTCCTATGTTTGATTCTTCATAATTTCTTATCACTGGAAGTTCCTCTGCAGTATTTTTGTTGTTTTGAATTTAAATCTTTTACTTTTATCACTATAATTTTAATTAAGTCTCAAGAAATATTTTTGCTTATCTGTCTCTCGAAGCTGAAATTAATTAGTTTCTTTTTCCTGGTAAATCTCCCCATCTTATCTCCCATCAATCTATTGGCTAGTTTGGTTAACTTATGGTTAAGTTTACTTCTTACTAAGGTACAAAGTCTGTAAGAAGTAATGTGAATTTATAAAAGCATTATTCTTGCTTACTTTTGTGACGTATGTACTATCTCATTGAATATATATATATATATATATATATATATATATATATATATATATATATATATTGTGTGTGTGTGTGGGGGGGGGTTTGTTTGTTTGTTGTGTTTTGTTTTTTTCCTCTCAATACCAGGAACTGAACCCAGGGACACTTGACCACTGGGTCACATCCCCAGACCTATTTTTGTATTTTACTTAGAGACAGGGCCTCATTGAGTTGCTTAGTGCCTTGCTAAATTGCTGAGGTTGGCTTTGAATTCACAATCCTCCTACCTCAGCCTCCCAAGCTGCTGGGATTACAGGTGTGCACCATCACAGAGTCTTACTTTTGCTGAGGCTGGCTTTGAACTGGCGATCCTCCTTTCTCAGCTTCCGGAGCCACTGGGATTACTGGCGTGTGCCACCATGCCTAGCTCCCCTATGCTTCTTTGTTGTTGACTTTAGAGATTTATGTTCACATTTGGGTCTTCAGGTTCAGTCTCCTCTGACTATTTAGAATGGGTATGTAGTATCTCATTGAATAAGAACATCAGTAAAAACAGAAGCTCACACAAAACAATGGCTGAGCACTCAAAAGTAAATGGCCAAAGTTATTCAACTAAAACACAGGTGCTTTTCTAACAGTATTTAGGGAAGAAGAAACTAGTGACAAGGCTCTCTTTTCCTTCATTGGTAATAGAAAATTCAAACCAGCAAATTAAACAGGGGTGAAAGTTTACTATAGGATTAATATTTATATTTAGGAGAATTTTAAAAAGGATAAGACCAACAAATAAACAAATAAACCCCTACCCTGACAAGACTTAAGAATATAAAACTCACAATATTTCATGCATTTAACATAACTTCAAATTTCCTTAGGGGCCAACATAAAACACAAGTTCAATTTTCTATTTTATCTAAGAACAATCATTGTTAATCCTTAAGAATGGCCTTTTGTTAATTTTAAATTATATTAAAAGAAGTAGGAATTATATTCAAAGGCAACATAGAAAGAAGAGGTATCTATCATATGATTTGGGAACACTAGGATCAAAAAAACCCTATTTTTAAAAGTGTTGATGCTCAAAACCTTGCAGTTTGTTTTTTGTTTTCCCAAGAGTTCATCTTCTGGAGTTGGAACTGAACTTGTTTCCCAATTTTGCCACTTAATCACTGTGTATTTAAGTGATTCTCTTAACTACAGACACTGCATTTCCCCATCTGTACCTAATAACTGTACCTACCAGTTAATGTAAATAATCCTTGTAAAAAGCTTCTTACAGTTTTTTATATGTTAATCTTAAATATTTGTTATTATTAGAAATTCATTTTCTGATGTTATTACAGACTCTAAATTTCATTTTGGTAATGTAGTCATCCAGTATACTATATTTTGCTTAATCATTTTTCTATGATGAATATTTAAGTGGTTATGTAATTTTTTTCTCCTTTTTGAGATCAATAGGATTATATTAAATATCACATGTCTTATTTTGAAGAATATGTACCAGTTTGAGTATATTTTACTATATTTTTTTATAAATTGGAATATGGCACATTCTTGTAAAGAATAAATTTGAATGTCAGTGAAGCAGTAAGAATCAAAAGAAGAGAAGGAAGAAAAAGGGAAAGGGGGAAGGAGAGAAGAGGCATTGAGGAATGAAATTAACCAAATTATTTGTACATACAAACATATCACAATGAATTCAGCACATGTAATTATGATAAACCAATAAAATTAATAATAAAAAAGGAATATTGCAAATTAAAGGTACCAGGATGCAGTACACTGTAGAGGAAAAAAAGTATGGTCATGAAGAACATGTTTCTGGTTTTTCTTTCAGGTGCTACTTGTTCTTCTACTTGCATGTATATAGTTTCGATGATCTTCGTTTGTGTTTTTCTTAGCGCACTCCTCCTCATTCTCTATTTTGTTTGGAGAAAGAAAAAGTAAGTCATATTACTATATGTTTGTGATAAAGAAAGTTGTTAAAACAAGATTAGTTTTAAATATTTTTGCAATAATTCCAAGGGATCTGGCAAAATCCATCATGAAAAGAGGAATGAAAACTCTTCCATATGCTTGGTTCTTCCCATTATCAGGGGTGTGTCTTTGTCAAAATGATACTTTACTTAGGATTGCCATAAAGGTGTAACCACTTATGCTTGTAGTAAATTGAGTTTAAGATTTTTTATTGAGATTTTTATAGGAGACTGCATATGGACCCTAGACAACTGGTGGGAGGGAGTCCACTGTGTAGTAGAAAAGACTGAGTCTGGGAGCCCCAAATAAGTCTGACTAAGCCATAATGAGCTGAAAGTGATCTTATTTTTACAAGACTAATATAATAAAATATCCGTTCGGTAATCCAACAAATACTTCCTGAGGCCTCTATATTGCTGTGCATTGTTCTCAGTATCAAAGACAGAATTGAAACAGGTGAGTTCTTTGCCTTAAGGAGTCTACATCCTAGTGAAAAGAAATAGACCATGGAATGACAAAAGGAAAGAGGAAATATCAGGCAATGATAAGTACTGGGTAAAAAATAAGACAGAATGATATGATTGAAAGACATGTGGCTAGTTTATGTTAAGAGGTCTCTGGGAATGGGGACGTTTCAACTGATACCTGAATAAGTATAACTAAGTATAACCGATACCTGAATAAGCATGAGTGGAATGCTTGGTGAAGAGCATTACAGACAAAAATGAAGAATATTTAATTCATATACCAATGTGGGAATAAGCTTGGTGTGTTACAAGAATAAAAAGAAAGTTGGGGCTGGGGTTGTAGCTCAGTGGTAACACGCTTGCCTAGCATGTGTGATGCACTGGGTTCAATTCTCAGCACAACATACAAATAAATAAAAAGTAAATAAAAATAAAGGTTCATCAACAACCAAAAAATATTAAAAAAAAAAAAAAGTCAATGTGGTTGGAACAATGTTATGGAAATGGAAGTGGTGGCCAGAATAGGTTAGGCCCACAGGCTTGGGATTTTTATCATCTGCAATTTCAATCCATGGAAACAAGAAGCACAAGAATTTGATTTACACAATCAAAAGCTCTGTCTTGCAAGAATGTGGACAAGGTTCCTTAGAAATCAAGAATGAAGGACAAAGAGAAGAGAAGTGAGACAGTCTGGAATACAGTGGTAGAAAAGGGAATGGAGGCATTAGTGATGTATTTGGAATCTGTACATTGGGAGAAGAGGATGTGGGCATCTCACTCAGGCCTAATGCAAATGCTCTACCACTGAGCTACATTCACTGCCCAGGGGTATGTTTAGGATGACAAGATTTACTGAAAGATCAGATGGGGAGAAAAAGCAAAAGGAAAGAAGTATGCTGATTACTAGACATAGAACAATGATGTTATTGGAGTACATTTTGAACATTAGATAAAGACAATTTATAAATCTGGGAAAGAACAGAGAAGAAGCTTTGGGTGAAGGATTAAGAATTCTATGTGGAACATGTTAATTAATTTTGAAATGCCTATTTTACATCCAAGGGAATATGTTAATTAAGTATCTACATATATGAAATCTGAAATTTAGGGAGTAAAGACCAGAGGTATAAGTCTCCAATGGGACAATCATAAATTACATTACTATAGAATAGAAACAATATGCAGGTCCTGTAATTGGAGTATTTTTATATTGAACTAAGCACTTGAAAAGATATTTTGACAATCTCTCAAGAGAATTTGAATCAGAGTCTTCCAATATTTTATTAATGTTTTGTTTTCATATTTCATATTTTTACAATGTACTGCCATGAGGGGGAGTGTTTGAGCCATATTCATCATATGTATGCATCAATGTTATTATATGTCTAGGCACCTGTGTGAACAATCATCGTTACAGTCGAGAGAGACAGAATTTCATCTGACACACAGGTGATTGGCACTGCCTGATTTTGTTTTTTACTGTTATTGTGTATTCCTCAAATTTAATACCTAATTTTCCAAGTTAAATTATGCATTTGGTAGCAGCAATTATCATTTTAGAAATAAAGGGAAACAAAGATTGATTTGTTTAAATATATAATCCAATTCTATGAAGTAGTGGATTCAAATGAGGCTAGTTAATATTAATACCTTTGCTTTATTTTTAATTTTTAAAACTTAAATTTTCTAACTGATACACAAAAAGACAAATATTGTGATGTATAGATATAGGTATATATTATATAATTACATAAACATATAATATTTAAATCAAGTTAAATGTATGTATCTCCTCAAACATCATATTTTGTAGTGAAAACACGTAAAATTATTTGTACTAGCCTTTAACAATATACAGAATTTTATCATTATTTATAGTTATCCTACTGTGGAATAGCACACTGGAAGTTATTCCTCCTATATAACTAGTTTTTCTAAATTCTCTTTCAGTGAATTCATCACTAATGTATAGGAACACATTTGATTTATGGGTGTTAATTTTATATCCGGCTACTTTGCTGAATTCATTTGTTAGTTCTAGAAGATTTCTGGTGGAATTTTTGGATCTTCTAAATATAGAACAATGTTGTCAGCAAATAGTGATAGTTTGAGTTCTTTTTCCCCCTATATATATTGTTTTAATTTCTTTCTTCTCTCTAATTGCTCTGGCTAGAGTTTCAAGGACAATGTTGAATCAAAGTGGTAAAAGAGGGCATCCTTATCTTGTTCCAATTCTTAGAGGGAATGCTTTCAATCTTTCTCCATTTAGAATAATGTTGGCCTTGAGTTCAGCATATATAGCTTTTACAATATTGAGGTATTTTCCTAATATTCCTAGTTTTTCTAGTGTTTTGATCTACATCTATTGAGATCATCATATGATTCTTGTCTTTAAGTCTATTAATGTGATGAATCATGTTTATTTATTTCCATATGTTGAACCAACCCTGCATCTCTGGGGTGAGCCCCACTTGGTCATGGGGTACTATCTTTTTAATATGTTTTTGTATGAGATTTGCCAGAATTTTATTGAGAATTTTTGCATGTATGTTTATTAGGGATACTGATCTGAAGTTTTCTTTCCTTGGTGTGTCTTTGGTTTTGGTATCAGAATGAAACCAGCTTCATAGAGTGAGTTTGGAAAGCTTCCCTCCTTTTCTATTTCATGGTATAATTTGAGAAGTATTGGTGTTAATTCTTCTTTGAAGGTTTTGCAGAACTCAGCTGAGAGTCCATCTGGTTCTGGGCTTTCTTAATTGTTAGGCTTTTGATGGCATCTTCATTGCTTGAGTTTGATTTGTTCAAATCGTGTATGTCCTACTGGTTCAATCTGGGTAGGTCATATGTCTCTAAAAATTTGTCATGTCTTTGAGAATTTTTATTTTATTGGAGTATAAATTTTCAAAATATTTTCTAAATATCTCTGTATTTCAGAAGTGTCAGTAATGATATTTCCTTTGTCATCACAAATTTTAGTAATTTGAGTTTTTTATCTCTTTTTGTTAGCATGACTAATGGCTTATAAATTTTATTTATTTTTACAAAGATCCAACTTTTCATTTGTCAATTTTTTGGATTTTTTTTTGTTTGCTTCAATTTGTTTGATGTACATAGATACTCCATTGTTTGGGGCATAAATATTTATGATTGTTATATCTGATGCATCTATAATTCCCTTAAGCAGTATAAAATCTCCTTCTTTGTCCCTTCTGATTAACTTTGGCTTGAAGTCCACTTTATCTGATATGAGGACAGAAACCTCTGCTTGTTTATACAATCCATGTGAGCAATATATTTTTTCCATCATTTAACCTTTAGTCTGTGGTTGTCTTTGCCTATGAGGTAAGTCTTTTGGAAATAGCATATTGTTGGGTCTGTTTTTTAATTCTATCTGCTAGTCTGTGTCTTTTAGTGATGAGTTCAGGCTATTCATGTTCAAGGTTTTATTGAGATATGATTTGTGTTTCTGGTCATTTTTGGTTTATTTCTGTTTTTTTATTTGAATTTGTTTCTCCTTTTATTGACTAGTCCTTTAGTATATTTCCTCCTTTCACTGGTTTTCACTTTTTTTTTTTCATTTCATCTTCATGGAATATTTTGTTGAGAATATTCTAAAGTGCAAACGTCCTGATTGTGAATTCTTTTAATTTTTGTTTATCATGGAAGGTTTTTATTTCATCTTCATATCTGAAGCTTAATTTCACTGGATATAGGATTCTTGGTTGGCATCCATTTTTCTTTCAGAGCTGATATATGTTATTCTAGGACCTACCATCTTTGAGAGTCTGGGCTCAAAAATCAGCTAAGATCCATATTGGTTTCCCCTGTATGTAATCTGATATTTTTCTTTTGCAGCCTTTAAAATTCTCTTTATTCTATATGCTAGGCATTTTCATTATAATATGCCTTGATGTGGGTCTGTTGTAATTTTGCACACTTGGGTTCTTGCAAGCCTCTTGTATTTGATTTTCCACTTCATTCTTTAGATTTGGAAAAATTTCTGATATTATTTCATTAAAAAGATTGTGCATTCCTTTGGTTTGTATCTCTGTGCCTTCATCTATCCTGATAAATATTAAATTTTTTTTCATGTTATCCTGTAATTCTTGAAAGTTATGTTCATGGTTTCTTAACATCTTCTCTCTGTGGTCAACTCTATTTTCAAGATTATATATTTTTATATTTTGTCTTCATTGTCTGAGGTTCTTTCTTCTAAGTGGTCTAGTCTGTTAGTAATGCTTTCTTTCTTTATTTTTTTTTTTAATTTTTATTATTGGTTGTTCAAAACATTACATAGTTCTTGACATATCATATTTCACACATTTGATTCAAGTGGGTTATGAACTCCCATTTTTACCCCATATACAGATTGCAGAATCACATCAGTTACACATCCATTGATTTACATATTGCCATACTAGTGTATGTTGTATTCTGCTGCCTTTCCTATCCTCTACTATCCCCCCTCCCCTCCCCTCCCCTCCCATCTTCTCTCTCTACCCC